ACATGCACACAGCACACCAAACACATACACACCCCACAGAACACACCACACGTATCACATAGAGCACACACACACACACCACACACACAGCAGCCAAACACACACACCCCACAGAACACACATGTATCACATAGAGCACACATACACACACTAGACATCCACATACAGCACACACACCCACCCCCACACACACACCCCCTACATATGCACACAGCACGCCAAACACACACACTTCCCATATCACACATAGCACACACCACACCTACTACATATAGCACACACACTCACCCCCCCACACACCCTACACATGCACACAGCACATCAAACACATACACACCCCACAGAACACACCACATGTATCACATACAGCACACATCCACACACCACACATATACACCCCACACATGCACAGAGCACGCCAAACACGCACACACCCATCACACAAAGCACACACCACACATACCACATATAGCACACACAAACCCACACACCCCACACATACACACACCCTATACATGCACACAGCACACCAAACACACACACACCCCACACAGGCACACAGCATGCCAAACACCCCCCCAACATATACACATAACACAAATACCACCACACACAGCACACATCACACATGCCACACTCATCATGCGACATATGCACACCCAACATATGCACACACACTTAGACCACACACACACCCTCACACTACACATAACACTCGCACATATGTGCATACCCCACGCATCATGCACATGCGCTCTCACAGACCCCCCCATGCAGACCCCACACATCAAGCTCATGCAGTCTCACACACACTCCCACATATACCACACACTCGCATGTACTCACACATGCACACCTCCCCACACATGCAGTTTTGCATGCACTCACACATGTACACCCCCACACATGCACACTCGCACGCACTCACACATGCACACCCCCACATATGCACACTCGCACGCACTCATGCATGCACACAACACACATGCACAATTGCATGCACTCACGCATGCACACCCCCACACGTGCACACCCCACACACATGCAGTTTTGCACACACACATGCACACCCCCCCACGCTTGTATATACACATGCACCCCCCACACACATGCACACTTGTATGCACACGCACATCCCACACACATGCACATTTGTACACACACACGCACATCACCACACACATGCAGTCTTGCATGCACTCACACATGCACACCCCCCAAGCACATGCACACTCATACACACTCACATATGCACAGCCCCACACACATGCACACTCATATGCAGTCACATATGCACAGCCCCACACACATGCACACTCATATGCACTCACATACGCACAGCCCCACACACATGCACTTTTGCATGTGCTCACCTCCTCCCAGTGCTCTCCACCCCTCCTTCCCTTGAGTCCCAGACAGACATTCCTGCTCGCTCTCGGTAGCAGCTGCTCACCTCTTTGGAGAGCCGGGTGAAGAGGTCCCCTCCCCGCAGGAAGTCCAGGATCAGGTAGAGCTTCCCTTCTGTCTGAAAGGCTGCGGGGGAGAGAAACCAGCATTTTGGCAGCTTGTCGAATGTCCTGTGGCAACACCGCTCTCTGGCTTCTCGCTGCTCACAGTGCTGCTTACTCCGGGAGGCTGAGCCATTTGAGAAACAGCGGGACCCTGGCTGACGACCAGCTTGAAGGAGCAGCACCCGGCAAGGGGGGCCTGACGCTGTGAGGGCTGCCCCTCTCTCACTGCTGTTAGGGGTCTTGAGCCTTTTTCATCTTTCTTTCTTCTCCCCTCCTTCCTTTTTTAATCGTAAAGGAATTGAAACATACATGGGGAGAGAGACGTGCATATTCAAGCTGTTCTCATCGTTGCCGGCTTCTGTCGGGATGCATTAGTGAGCAGCCTGAAGACGGCTCTGATGAGTCTGGAGGACATGTCCTTTACGTCCTGTGGAAGTTCATTCTTCCTACAGAACTCCACTCTGGCACCAGGGAACCCCCGCTTGCCTTCCTCTCTCACAGCAGCTCTAGTGATTGGTCAGCCCAGTTATCTGTACATCAAGACAATGGGGCTCATGTCCTAGGTCTGGGACCCATGAGCTACAACTGCAGACTATGATTCAGGCCACAGGCAGGCCACACAGCTCCTGTCCACACTCAGCAAGGGCCTGCCTCTGTTCAGAGGGTGCAGGAGCATGGAGGGTCTAGCGAAGCCTGTCAGCATCCCTGCTGTGATGACGGCCACTGCAGCGGCACTGCTGAGGCACCACTGGGAGCCTATTTTATCTACGTAGGACGCGTGGCTGGAAGGGATCCTGATATCCCTGCCTACTAGAACATGTTTTATTTCCTAAAAGTACATGCTAGAAACATCATAAATGTTGGGGTTTTAGAAACATAGCCTTGAGCTAGAAAGCCCTCTGCCAGGACTGTGATGCTGAGTGCCATTCAGTGCTCCATCCTGGGCTGGGTGGGCAGATGGAGCCCTTGGGTGACCACGGAGGTGATGTGGAGGTCTGTTGAAAGCTCTTGTAAGACACCCGGTTCTCAATTGCTTCAGAAAAGCCCCCCCAGCAAGTAACATAAATGACATGTAGGATGGGACTTGACCCCAGCCACTCGGCAGCAGTGGAGGGAGTGAAGTGTCGGAAAGCCGGTCTCTGCAGCTCCTCTGCTGCGAGGTGGGGTTTGCAGCTGCACTGCCCACATCCCAGAATGAACAGCAGGGTACACCGGCTTCTGCAGCTCCTTCGTCCTGCCCTCAGATTCCCAAACGTCTCACTAACACCTCCCTGCATGCCACCTTGCCCTACGCAACCAAGAACCAACAGCTAGTTTTGTTGCTGTTCCCTTCTGTACTCTGCTCAACTGGATGACCAGGTGGGAAAGTTTAGTGCAGTAAGCCATGAGCCTGCCCCCACCATCTCAACACAACTTTTTTTAATTTGAAAATTTCACTTACTGCTTCTCTGTTGGGATAAAAAGGCAGACAGCAAATGAAGACAAGTCATGGGGCAAAGCAGCTATGTGGCCTTTGGTTAGTTACTTGAGCCTCAAACCATGAAAATAATAAGCTACCTTGAATGGAAGTTTTGAGGGTTCATCTTTAAACATGATATTCACTTGAAATGAAGAAGGTGTTACCATTTCTGGTTTAAAGAAATAATTAGGTCATAGAGCATTTTATTGTAAAACAAAGCAGAAATAAGTCATAGATTCATCCCAATCAAGGTTGAGATCTTCTTACTAAATTATCAATGGTATGGTAATAATTTAATAATGGATACCCCATCTATAATTAGATCTTTGAGATGAAAACAGGGCTTCTTGCTCTTTCAAAGAAAACAAATACAGAAGAGATTAAGTGATCAGGAAATAAGGCATCTTCATCCCCAGACAGGGCAGGACTCTCTGGTACAGGAAAGATTTTCTTCTTTCTGACCAGTTATTTCTTTTTCAAATTTCCTCTGATCTGGAGAAGGTTCTCTGGGTCCTCTCTAAAGTGTCCTTTTGACTCTACTTACCGTAATGAAGCTTTACAATGAAGGGGTGATTCACTTCTGCCAAGATGTCTCTCTCCATCTTCGATCTCACTCGGTCCCGAACTGCAAAGTAGAAAGATAAAGGCGTTCAGGAGGCAGGAATTCAGAGTGCTGAGGATCACCAAACATGAAATATTGATACAATGCCCCCAACTTTTCATCACAAACATTTCAAACATACACAAAACTTGAAAAAGTTGTACAATAATCCTGGATTAAACAACTGTTCACATTTTAATACATTTGCTTTCTCACTCTCACACTACACACACACACACACACACACACACACGCATCTCTAGCTCTCCAAAAAATTAAAAATAAATTGTTGGCAGCACGACATGTTACTCTGAGGTGCATGTGCAGGTGGTCTCCTAAGAAAGAGGACAGTCTCTTACATTACATAACTCTAACACTACTGTCACACCCAATAAAACCAACAATCCTTCCATGATACCATCTAACATCCAGTCTATATTCAATCTTCCCTCGACAGCATTTACAGCTCTTGGTTTTTCCAACCTAGGATTCAGTTCAATTACATTGGTTGTAAAATGTCTTTGTTTTGCTCCTAGGAGACAATGGTCCCACACCTATTTCCCCTGCCCTGTATTTTTTTGTGGACTTTTTGGTAAGTCCAGGTCAGTTTTTATCTGTAGAATGTTCCACATTCTGGGTTCGTCTGATGGTTGCTCAGTTGCTTTCCATAACTCTTGTATTTGTTGTCGACTGGAGATGTTATAAGATCGGGGCTAAACGGTTTCGGTCACCAGGTAATGCCTGTACCTCAGACTGCCTCAGATCAGGAGATGCCTGCAGGGCTCACCCGCTCTGCGTCATGTTCAATGTGATCCGTGGTGGAGGGGGCAGGTCATCATCTCTCCATGGAAAAGGTCTGTATGTCCCTTTTTGAGTAATAGGTACCTGTGGGCTGATAGCTGGCATGGAGGGACCTGTGGGTTCCCAAGCAATCCTTCATGCAATGGTGCTAGCATACACATGTGATCCCTGCCTGAGTCATTCAGGCTACAGGACAGCCGTTTTCACATTTCTGATGGAACTGGAAATTGAGGAAGATTCTTCTCTCCGTCTCCATGAAGATAACCATGGACCATGTACTTTCTGTTTAATTTAGTGTGTTGTAACAGTTACATATTCTTCTTAGAGCTCACACTACCTCAAGTTTAGCCAATCGAGAATACAGATGCAATTAGTTTTGATGCAAAAACAAATGAACAAAGAACACCACTTGAGAGTAAGAACAGCTTTAGTATTCCAATAAGCAAGCCCTCACATCCTGGGCAGCATCTGGGGCCTCACACAGTCCAATGAGTGATGGTAGAAAATTTCTTCAAACGTTTCTATTGGGACAAACATGACGAGTATTTGATCATGGGCCAGGTATTTAAATGTATCCATATTTAGGACTTGTGATACATACTGCTAAAGTTTTATTTAAGAAATTCTTCACCAAGAATGGTGCAATAATAGTAAGAAAATAGAAAATAACAAACTTGGAGGATGTGGAGAACTTGGAACCTGCATGCATTGCTGGTGGCAATGTAATATGGCACAGGTGCTGTGGAAAATAGCTTGGTAGTTCCTCACAAAGAAGCAGAATTCCGTGGGACCCAGCAATTCCGCTCATAGGATACACGACCAAAGCCTGAAAGAGTGGATTTGAATGGGTTCATACACTCCCATTCATGGCAGGATTCTGTACAACAGACAAAGGAGGAAGCAACCCAAGTGTCCATCAACAGGTGATGGACAACATGTGATGCTGTAGTAAACACACACACATGTACACAAATACACACACACACACAACGGAGTATTAGCTCTAAAAAAAAGTAAAATTCTCACACACAATATGGATGGAAACTTCAGGACATTCTGCTAAGTGAAATAAGCCAGATACAGGAGGACCACTATTGTATGATCCACTTAGAAGAGCTGCCTAGAATAGCCAGATTCAGAGAGATGGAAAGCAGAATCCTGGTAAACAGGAGCTAGAGGAGGGGGAATGAGAAATTATTGTTTCCATTTGGGATAAAAATGTTTTTGGTATAATACTGGTGAGGACAACATTGTGAATGTACTGATGTCACTGAACTGTTCACTTACACATGGCTGAAGTGATCAATATTATGTTACATATGTCTCACCACAGTTAAAAAGAGAAAATCCTTCCTCATTCCTGGGTCCCTGAGTTTCACTCTCTGAACTCCTGGTTTTAATGTTCCACCCAGGATTCAGGCTCTCTGAAGTCTGCCTGTGTCCTTGGTGCTGGGACAGTTTTGCTTTCCCGTTTGGTCTGTAACAGTGTCTCCTGGGGCCCGGGCGGTGACTGTGGCATCTGGCCCGGCACCCCGCCTCACTGTCAGCATCACTGTGTCCTACTCTTCGCTTTGGTTTCCTCATATACAAACTGGATGAGATGGCTCCCACCTCCCAGGGCTGCCTGAGAAACCTGTGCAGTGACATGTGCGACACCCCGACCCGGGGCCAGCCCACACTGTGCTGCTTCAGGTGTCATTGGCAGTGACACCTTTGTTATATGCTCACATTCCCTTTCATTTTCTGATCCCTCCTTGCTTTTCCCCCACTCTGCCCATCCCTCTTCTGACCCCAGACCCTTGTCATCACAGTGGTCCTGTAACATTCCTTAGAGTGGGAGGTCCAATATTTTGACTTCCCTGGACCACACTGTAGGAATTGTCTTGGGCCACACATAAAATACACTAACACTAGCAATAGCTGATGAGCTTTAAAAAAAAAAATCACAAAAAAATCTCATAATCTTTTAAGAAAGTTTACGAATTTGTGTTGGGCTGCATTAAAAGCTGTGTAGCCTACAGGCCAAGGTTTGGACAAGCTTGCCTTAGAGTCTAGACGGGCTGTGGGCAGAGCTGGGGGATACTATCAGCTCCCCTGAACTTCAGCACCTCCTTCCCCAGTGGTCCTCGTAGTTCCTAATCCCTTGAGACCAAAACAACAAGGCAGAGGGTACAGGAACGACTCCTCATAACTCATGCCCAAGGGGAGTGAATCCTTCTCCTGCCTCAACTAATGGAATCAAAATTTGATTGCTTAAAAGACTTTGGTGAGCATGCAGTTCAACCCTATGTTCTTACAGAAAGGAAACTGAGGCTCACCGCAGGAAAAAGCATTGCTCAAAGTTAGATAGCTCCTGGTGGCCGGAAGGAAGCAGATCCCTGCCTGCCCCCTCTACTGGGTGAAGGCCTGGCGTGCGTCCCAGCTGCGTACGTGCACTGTCCTCGCCGGACACAGGGGCGGTACAAATTGCGGCACAGAAGACTAACTGCTGTGGAGGACGAAGGGGCAGCAAGCAACCTGGGCTGAGAGAGATTTAACGAGAGGGGCCACGCACGGAAAGCACTGACCCAGTTGAGAAGCGGAGCACCGCGCTCAGAAGCCAGGATACCGTGGAGCACCTTCACAGAATACAATTTTATACCCCGGCTGTGATTTTATCTCTAGAGTAATGATCCCTGAGTTCAGAGATCTTTTCTCCCTCTCCAATTGTAGTCATTGTGTGCAAACGTTTTGAAAAGGCTCAGCTGCAGAATTTAAGTCTTGCACCCGTTCCCGTTTATCATTTGTGAGTTCACGCCTTAGTGATCTGGATTCTGCATGTTGGTCAGGGTAGTTTTCTTTCTCTATGAAGGTGAGCCGGAAGATAGGCCATAGGATGGCAAATTTGGGGGAAATGTATAGCGAAGGTGGGCTTGGTCTTCCCAGCCCTTTTGTGAATCAGACAGCTGAGTGGTGAGGTCACAATTCTTGCCGCTTGGCCTCAGATTCCTTCCTCCCCCACCTTTTTTCCTGGGCCCACTCCTTTCCCATTACTACTTCTCCATCTTCTCTGCGCTGGGCATTTAGAATGAGAAGAGGCAGGCTGTGCCCTGCAGGAAGTGAGAGCCCAATGGGGATATGGCCTGTGGGGAGGGCAGCAAGGGGTCACCAGAGGGTGACCAGCCCTACCCCATGTGTGCTGGGGGAGTTGTGTGTGCTGGGGGAGTTGTGCATGCTGGGGGAATTGGGAACGGCCCGGGAGGTTTTCACAGAGGAGGAGCTAAGTCTTGCAGGGGACCTGGGAGCCTCCAGGTGTTCGGAGGCTCAGGGATGTGGGTGGGCTGGTACACAGAGCTGCAGCGCCCCACTGATGAGGCCAGCATCAGGGACGCAGGGCCTGGGGAGCCGAGAGACCAGGGAGAGGACTTTCACACAGCACGTGTTCAGGGCCTAGTCTAGAATTAAGAGGTCATGTGGAGGATGCAATAGCAGTGTGACTGGAATGGGCAATGTGGCCAGAATGGGACAAGGGGATCCCACCATCCAGCCCTGGAGAGGGACGGATCAGGCCTGGAGGAGGGAGAACGGAGACTCATGACCTCTTAGCTGCTGGGAATAAAAAGGATGGAGCCGCATCATCCTAGCCCTCTGCCTGGGTGACTGGTGGAGAAATTAGCCAGGAGAGAAGTCAGGAGGTGGGCAGGGAGAGAAGAGGCCACCTGTACTCTGCCTGTCCAGTGCTGAGGACACGTGGGGCTCAGGAAAATACTTGGTCTGGAGCTTTGCTGGAAACACAGATGCAAGCACCCACCCCACGGCAGGAGCCAAGGGTGCTGAAAGACCACCGGAGGCTATGTAGGATTAAGGAGGACCATGGTGGGGACCACGGTGAGGACCATGGTGGGGACTGTTGTTCTGGGGGAGAAGGGAGAGAGGATGCTCCATGATCTGGTCAGGAGGACCCGGATGAGACAGACGGAGAATTCAGAGATGTGAAAGAGTGTTAGGTGGCAGCAGATGCTCAAGACAGTCCACCAGGTGGGGACGCAGGAGGCCACTCGCGGAGTCGCATGACTCACGGCAGATTCATCAGGGACCATGCAATGAGGACATTGCTCATCCCCAGGGAGGGGCCTGTGGCTGGGTCTGCGATGTGGTGGGTGAGTGAGGTCAGCATTTCTGTGGCCCCTTGATGTGACTTTTGGAAGCTTTGACATACTTTTTAAATTAAAACATTTTATGCA